CAAAAATTTTAATAATATTCTTGTCAAAATTTCAATTATTTTTAGAGATATTTAAATTCTTCTCCGAAATTCAATTAATTTCAAAAACTTGAATAAAATTCTCGACAAAATTTCTATTATTTTCAAAAAATTTCGTCAATTCAATAATTTTTAATATCTAATACTATTTTAATAAAATTTTCCAAAAGAATTCAATTATTTACAAAATTTTTAAAAATTTCTTCTCAATCATTCAATTAATTTTATAAACAGTAAAATATTTACAGGAATTTAATTATTTTCGTATAAATAAAAAAATTATTTATTTATAAAATTCTTTATGAGAATTCAATTTTAAGAAACATGTAGTTATTTAACAAATTATTTTTTTGTGTTTAAATTTTTAAATAATTGAATTCTATTGATTTAAAGATGGATTTCAGTTAAAATTTTAGAACATAATTGAATATTAAAAGCACTAGAGTGTGAATTTTTAGAAATAATAATTTATAGAAGAATTTAGAAATTTTAAAATTTCACAGGAATTCAATTATTTACAAATTAAAATGTTTGAAAATTTGAATTTTTCATTTTTTTTAACTAACAATTCTGTGGATTTAATTTCTTTGAGAAAGTTTAATAATGGATTTTTTTAAAAATTATTTCAAGTTTTTACTTTTCTAATTCATATTTAATTGAAGAATTTACGAATATAATTGAAATTTTGTAAAATTGAATTGTAAACAAATGAATTTGAAAATTCCCAAAGAACTTTGTCAAAAATTATTAAAAATAATGCATTTATCGAAGAATTTTATTTAAAAACCACGAAAAAAAATTTGATTTTGGAAAAGTTATAAATTATTGCAGAAATTCAATTATTTTCAAGAGTAATAATATTTTTCTTAGGGAATAAATTATTTTTACAAATTATAAAACTCATCACAGAATTTCAATTATTTTTAATAAAATTTTATTGGAATTGCTCGAAAAATGTAATTATGCTTAAAAATTTTATTAAAATTCGCCGAAAGAATTCAATTATTCAAAAATTTGTTAATAAAATTCTTTATGGGAATTGAATTTTAAGAAACATTCAATTGTTCAGTAAATTATTTATTTTGTATTTAAATTATTGAATTCGCGTAGTATTATGGTTTATTTATTTCTTTTGAAGAGTTTTAATAAAATTATTGAAATTGTTTTTCGAAGAATTTACTTGAAATTTTATTAAAAATAATTGAATTCCTGTGAAGAATTTTACTATTTATGAAAATAATAGAAGTCTTGCAACGAATTTTTATTACATTTTTTTTAAATAATTAAAATCCTTTGAAGAATATTATTATATATGAAAATAATATTGAATTCTTGCAACGAATTTTATTACATTTCTTTTAAATAATTGAAATCCAGTGAAGAATTTTATTGTTTATGAAAATAATTGAATTCTTACAACGAATAGGGTAAATGCACTAGTAGTCGGACACTTAAGGATACAATCTTAAATTATGGTTTTTTTCTTGAAATAGCAAATATATCTTCTGTGTTTATAAGCACATTATTAATTAAAGGAGTTCTTCAGGATTAAAAATCATATAAATTTGTTACAAATACTTGAGTATTTAATAAAATATAAACATTTTAATAAAAAATTACGACTGCTTTAGTAGTCGGACACTTTTTCCCCTTGTTTCTATAGTCGGACATCTGTCAGATATTTTGAATTTATAAAGTGAAAAAGATAATTTTTTAATTGCTATCTACTGGAAAATGGAATTAAAGCATATTAGAAGTTATTAATATAATATTTAAACCCTATAAGTTTTAATATTTATGATTAATTACCAACAAAACTTTGTGCCACTCATCGCGCTACTCGAAAATGGCTGTATCTATAGTCGGACACCATGATTTTTAAAACATTAAATAAAATATTTCTTGTTTAATTATTTTCGAAAATAACACTATTTTAATAAAATATAAACTTCACACATTCGTCTAGTATACTTTTTAAAGTAATTATCACAATGCATTATTATTTATTTGCCAAAAAACACGAAAGTGTCCGACTACTAGTACTGTCCGACTATACCCGCACTTACCCTATCATTAGATTTTTTAAAAATAATTGAATATTCTTTTAAGAATTTTTTTATTATAATAGTAGATTTTGAAAATATTTAAATTTCATTTTTTGTGAAATATTATTAAATTCTTGCAAAAAATGGTAGAAAATAATTACATTTTAACAGGAATTCATTTCAAATTGTATTCAAAATAATTTAAATCGTAGAAAAGATTTTATTATTTTTGATAATAATTAAATTCTTACAATTAATTTTATTACTTTTTTGTAAATAATTGAATTGATGTGCAAAATTGAAGTTTTTATTTTCTAATATAAAGTTAATTGAAGAATTTACGGACAATTGAAATTTCATAAAATTGAATATTGTAAACAATTGTAAGCAATTTGTAAACAATTTTCAAATTGTCAAAGAACTTTTTCGAAAATTATGATAAATAATCGTTTTAGAGAAGTATTTTAGTTAAAAATTCTTGTAAGTAATAATTGAATTGATAATAATTTTATCTCTCGCTTATCTTCATGTTTTATATTATTATGAAAAATTTAATTTTTTAGTTTTAAGTAAAATGTTCTCTTATTTGACTCGGACTGGTTATATTTTTGTCAGCATTGGTCTTTAATTTTTCATTTTTGGTTCGTAAAGTCAGTATTTTTAAATACTGTCACTGGTTCAAGTCCTGAATGTAGTGAAGAAGTAGTGAAGAAAGTAAAAAACCTTAAAAAAAATTCTTTTGGTATAAAAAACGGAGATATTTAATTAAGAATCTATATTGAAGAAATTTATTTAATTCTCGTGGAAAAAAAAATTTCTTTTCAAGTTGGAAAAGTGAAGTTTAAAATGTTGCACTATATTCTTGGGTACCGTGAAAAGTTCTGTAAGTTGAGTAAAGAGCAAAGAACGTAAGAGTAAAGAATATATCTATAGAAGAGAAAAGGAGAAAAAAAATTCGTGGAACCCTTGAAGTTTTTCTTTGTCGCGGCTTGTCTTCGAGGCGAAGTGAAAAAGAAAAATAAAATAGTAGAAAGAGAGTGAGAGAAAAAAGAAAGCGAAGGAAAAAGGAGAATTTCTTTTCTCTTTGCGACTGCGCAAAAGACGTCTACTCATTTCCGTAGGCGTCTTCAGATCTCTCACCCTTCGAGTTTCGACGTACCCACCCTCTGTACGGGGGTTGGGGTGGGATTCGGGGGTTGCTTGTAAGTTCTGCATGTCGGCACGCCTCCAGGAGACTCTTTCTCTCTCTCTCTCTCTTTCTCTCTGGTTGCAATCGTAAAAAGCATCGCCACGGGGTTCCTTTTCCTAGGCCTCCCGAGGACTAATGTTTGAAAATAAAATAAATGGATAGACGCGTAAAAACAAATGAAAATAAATTTCTTTCAATTTGACAAAATAAAATTAATCATCTTTTATATTGCGGGAGCATTTTTCTTTTTTTGGCTCTCTTATCAGAGAGGGTTTTATTTTTGTATTCATGTTGAGAATGTAGATTTTATATGATAAAGGGACGATCTTGTTGCACGCCCTCTGACCTTATATACAAATTATGACATTTATTTTTTATTCCCTGTTACCCCTCTGAGAATTAATGGGAGCCGTGTAAAAAATCGTTGTGAGAGGCGAGAAACCGAGCGAAATTCATATTTATTCCCCTTGTCAAATCGAATTAGATAGAATTTTTTTTTTGAAGATGTTAAACAAATTATCGACTTTGGAGATATTTTCGTTATTCGTAAGTTCTGAATATTCAAATGAAGGAAATTTTTTGTCAATGTAAATATTTTCCGCAAAAATAGAATAGGATTAAACACTTAGAGATATGACTTCTTTTTTCATACCATACGAAATTTTCCAAGAACAAAGGAAAAATAAATAAATTTTGTTCATTTAAATATTCAGAACTTAGATATAAAAAATTTATTTCAATGATGTTTTTCCTAATGCAAAACAAAGCAAGAAGAAAGAAAAGTCTTTCAAAAGCATTTAAACAAATGTTACTTTCTAAATTTTAATTAGTAAAAATGATTACTAATTTAATAAAAACTGAACATTATTTTACTTTCACAAAATTGAAGAATTAAGAATAATTTTTTCTTACATAGTTTTTAATTATATTTACTTTATGAATTTTTATTCAAAAAATATTTATTCATCTAATGAAACCAAATGCCAATAAAAATGAGACTACAATTCCATATCTCTCTGACATAAATGTTGCATCAATGAAATAAGTATAGAAATAGAAATTTTTTATGGCTCATAAATTAACCCCATCTATAGACGATTATGAATTTTGCGGGTAAAACCTTTATTCCATTTACGCATATGGTTATTGGGGGGTATTTTTCATTGTATTGAAAATATAACACAAAAAAGATGTGTCAAAGAACTATTAATATTCCTTATTATGGTATTTTAGAAAGAAAAAGGGGGGTCAGGAATCCATATAGATATATATTTAATCAATAAATAAATATACGCAGATATTGTAGAAAACTAGTGCGCCCGCTATGAATGTCAAAGATTATTTAGTACCAATGCACATCAGAGCAAAAGTAGACTCCCCGTTGATCATAAAGTATGCATATTCCCTATATGTGAATGGGTTATGCATGCCTTATGGGACACATAATCATTATTTTTTTCTCCAGCACCTTGCGCTCAGTCAAAGTTCATTCAAATATTTACTTTTCATAACTAAATTCTATTAGAAATTGAGAATATGTTCATTCATCATTTTAGGGATAAAATTTAAATGGTATTAAAAAGTAGTCAAATACTTTCAAAGCTGGAAATTTAATAGGAGTCAAAATAGGAATCAAAATTGGGATTCAAATTTGAAGCCCAATTTTGTTTCCAAATTAGGATTCAAAATAATATTGAGACTTGAAAAAAGTTGCAAGTTAATATAAACGAATTTTTTTTTATTTGCAGGTGTCTGTATCTTAAAGAGAGGATGTTTTTGGTCTGTGGCCTTTCATGTGGTCACAGAAGTGCAATCAAGAGTCAAGAATCTTTGGAAGTGGATCAAAAGGGCGGTGATGATGTGGTAGGATCCCATCGCCACAACGTGGGACGCCTCAACTGAATTATGAGTCAAATTTAATTTCTGGTATTTATCCTTCCCTGTTTAATTTGGTTTTTTAATTGATTTTCTTTAACCCTCCGTCTGACAATTGGGCCCTGTCAGATCCATAAGATTCGAAAAATTTATTTACATAGGAATAACAGTCTAAAACAAGGTCTGCAACCGTTAGGATATAAAAACTAAAATTATTTGTGGAAAGTAACCGATTTTTAAACTTAAGACCATATTTAGTCAATTTCAGAACTTAAAATCATACTTTAGTGGCTTAAACTTATAGTGAACATACTTTAATCAATTAAAAGTGAGCTATTTAGTTTGTTTTGAATATTATTATTTAGTTTTGAAGGTTTTACTCGCAAAAGTTGGCTGAGAGTAAAATTTATGTTTTGCAGTGTTAGATTAGCTATAGGAATTTGTGTTTTCGGGTAGTTTAGCAAACTTTTCGTACAGAGCGATCTACGAAAAAAGGAATAGTCGAAAAAGTGTTTACCTAGAAGGGTAAAAAGATTAGAGAAATACATCTTTCGATTAATGTTCGAACACGTGTCCAACGGAGGTTTAATTTGAATAAAAATCGCCAGTACAGTATGAATTATTTTGGATGAAATTTAATTTTTTTTGTCACTATGTTGTTTTGAATTCTATTGTATATTTGTTTTGCACTGACTGTTTCTGCGGTTTATTTTAAAATTATGATGAGGGTGTTTTTAAGTTTGGTATGTCTTATAATGTTTGGTAGCAAGGCTAAAATCCGCAACGTTTGCAAAAACGTTGCGGATTTTAGCCTTCTTACCAAACATTATACGAAGAACCAAAATTTATGATTGGTTTGTTAAAATTTGTAATGGTGCTTAAGATTTAAATTTATGGAAAAATAATTATTGAGAATAGTAACAAATGTTGCATAATAGTTGCAATTAGTGTAGTTATTACAATCGGTGGTAGATACGATATATAAAAAGTTATAACAGATGGTAGTTTTATTTTTAGATTGTAACAGTTGATGCAAATCCATAAAGCTGGTAGTTTAAATTGTTTTGTAGTTTCCAGATATTTCAACAGCAGGTTTAAATAATAATTACGATTTTCGAGATGAGAATTAATTGTCCTGTGTATTAGAAAATAAGTGAAAAATCTTTGCCAGATGTGCGATTGTTGAAAATGAGGTTTGAAAAGGAGGGGGGCAAATAGGAAGGCTTTATGGTGGTTTTCGAAGAGATGTCTCAACGTATATATAGAGTGAAGGAGAAATGGCAAAAAGGGAGAATGAAAAGGGGCGCCAGCGTGGGTGTACACCGCGTCACGCTACGATAAACTACCTTTCCTTGAGTTCCCCTGGCAGAATTCTGTGTTCTCTCCGATCCCCCATGAAACCCCATGGACCCATTCCCTGCAAGCTCTCACAAAGCATGATGACAGGTTCCCTCTCATTGTTGTACACCGTGTGCATACATTTCATCCACATATTGAAATAAAGAGATGTCAGACTTTTTTTTGCAAAATGATGGTGTACCTTTAAAGAGTAAATATTGGGTAACTTACCCCTCTTTTATTGAGATGAAAGGGTCGCGCATTAATCACTCAGTGATTCCATTAAAAAGTAGATTCTTTTATTTTGTTTGTATTGCGAAAGGTTGCCAAAGAAGTCAGAGTTTAGGTGTTGTGATTTTCAATCTATTTGGTTATTAGGTTTATTAGACTTATAATCGAGAAACGGTTTCAAAGGAGTCACAGTTCAGGTTTGTGATTTTTAATCGTTATTATTAGGTTATTAGGTTTATTAGACTCATTAGATTTGTTAGATTTATTAGATTTGTTATGTTATTAGACTCAGTAGATTTATTAGACTTCTTAGATTTATTAGATTTCTTAGATTTATTAGGTTATTAGATTCGGTTGATTTATTAGATTTGTTAGGTTTATCAGATTTGTTAGGTTTATTAGGTTCGTTTGGTTCGTTAGGTTCGTCAAGTTTCGTAAGTAGAACTTGTGTTCTGCTATAAGCTTGAACAGCGAAAAAAAAATAGTTGACTCTTGTTCTGGAGTTTATCCATGAGAACGAGAAGTTGGTACGAGACACACCCCATGACCCTTGGGTGCCATTACGGTGTCAAGTGTACAATAAGGCCAGAGACAACGATCACCATAAATGCAATGGTTCCAGAAACACTTGCACTCATCTTTCCATTTCTCCTTCTCGTTTCTGGTACTTTTCTTCCTTTTCTGTCCTCCAACTTCTCACACTAACGAAACATCCCTTGGGATTTTTAAACAATATGCTACAATGCACATTGGATATACCTTCGAGTTGATACTTGCCACACTGTTCCCATAATTCCCCTGCGATTTTCCGGGGCTTGTACATTGAAATTCTCGCGGGACATTGGTGATATACTGGTGAGAATTAAATTCGAACCCGGTTACACGCTATTTAGAACAAGTCATACAATGTTCTGAAACAATGTAACGTTTTGAGTTCGGTAGTTTTTTCTTCTCATACTGTAATTGTTGATTTTGATATTTAATTTGTTAATAATGATAGTAAAATGATTGTGGTTAATAATTCTTAGGATCAATATTGTTGAAAACGAAAGTCGTAGCATATCGACAAGTTGTTTTTAAGTTATAGTTTTGTAAACTAATCAAAAAAAATAGTTTTGACTTTAAAGGTAAAATTTTGTTTGTGTTGAATTGATTAAATCGACGTGAATCGTAAAAAGTAATACTCGAAAATAAATCCTTTTCACCGTTATCTTGAGTGATACTGAATACTTGCTTTTAATATCCGAGAGTATAGCAAATGTGTGAGAGTATTTAGAGTTTATAGTTGACCTGTTCTAAACGAGGAAATAACAAGGACCCACTTGAAGTGCTGTTCGTTATAATAGATTAAAGCCATCTTCTCCCCTGACTGTGGAACATATATTGTCCCCTTAACACCCCCAACCAGTAGTTCGCTTTAGTTCACTTGACCCTACTTGTCCCGCTAGGGTCTCATATAAACGCATCCCTCTGCTTAACTGAACGCATCGGCTTTCTCTCTATTTTATCCCTCTCTCTCTCTCTCTTTTTCCCTTCCCCTTTCATTTTCTCCTTCATCCTTTTCATGGACCACTGTGTGAGTCCTCTCAGATTGTCTAATGGCTTTCTTCACATGCATCACCATATACGCAATTTTCTTAATGTACTTGCTAAACGCTCCCGCATCGACACTATCATTTCATGAAACTTTCAAGTCTCCCACACAATCGAAATTTTTTATACTTTTTTTGTTTCTAGGATTTCCCTTTAAGTAAAATATGTCCGACTCGATATCATTTTAGACTATTTTCTTGTTGTAGAATATAAATTAGTGTTTATCAACAAAAATAGTTCTTGATCGATCACAAATTTACCCGAATTGTATGTAATTCATTATTCATTTCATAAAAACGTAGGTAAAAAAAAATAGAATTTGTGATGGATACACCTGAAAATATGGTTATGTATTTTATACTCTATCCAAGCAGAAAAATGTTGGATCGAAGGGCATTTATTATTTATTGTCGTGACACGTTCCTGAAGGTAACACCGAGGCCTCATGAATGACAGATATAAAAGTGAGCGCACGAATGAATAATATGGGTAATGGGGTAGCTAATGTCCCCATATGCGTGAGTGCGTATATATAAACCCACTAGAATTCTTATTCGTGTAAGTGCAACACGTAATGGGCGGCGCGCATATATAATGTTACCCAAAAACCATCATCTATCCTTGAATTTAGCTCATTTAGTTTATGGCACTAGAATATATCTACCATGTGGGGTTCTATGGCGCGATGCTGACTTTAATCTAATGTCACATTAACGATCGATAAATTATTAAGTCGTTTCTATTCCTTATCATCTTTATTCACTTAAATTAAATATACTTACTTTATATATACTTATCTGTAATATCATTTCAATAGTTGTGTCATCATTAGTATAGTATTAGTATCTATTATTATTTATCAATAGTTTATCATTGGAAGTATTTTATTATATGTAATGGAAAATTGAAGAAAATTATGTTGATTTAAAGTGGAAGTCGCTCTCTTCATGTATTCGTTTTAAATTTCGCGCCATTTTTGTTCTGTAAATTCCCGCCTAAGGGGCATGAAAATTCTCTCGCAAACGAGATGAAGTATAAGTGTCAGTTCTTTATATCTAATTAGGGGCCGTCCATATATTATGTAACGCTAATTTCTGAAAATTTTGACCCCCCATGTTACACACTGTTACATACGTTAGCGCCATTTACCGGATTAAACTTTTGTCAAATAGATTTTTTTCTTTCGTTTACTAATAATTACTTAGTATCAATGCATTTGTTGGAATTAATATTATTTTGCAACAAATAGCAAATACATATATGTATATTAAAAATGAACAAATAATGGGAAGAACGAGGAGAAGTAAAAATTTTTCATGATTCTATGCATTTTTCAGTATGCAGTGATATAGAAAGCCGCACCCTATACATATGCGTATATAGAAGAGAGATGGAGAGAGAGAGAGAGAGAGAGAAAGAGAAGCAAAGTCAGACATTTTTAGTGTGTGGAGTCCCTTTTTTTCACCCTTGTGTACACATATATGGATCCATTCGCGTATTACCCAGTTCCGCGGACACATTGTGCGCATTTTATACTTGTTTGCACAATTCCCTACGCGTTTTTCGTATGACCGAGGCTGTATCTGGCCAAATGTTTTTTTGGAGATGGGGACTTGCAGTGAACGTTGTCATTTTATCGGTCGGAAGAGCACTGAATTTATTAATGGAATTGGTTAGGCATGATGGATTTATTTTTATGGTTATTACCAAAAACCTGATCTCAAATGCCCGTTTATGGTGCCTACTATAAAGATCGACTCTTTTTTTTAAGATTGCACGCTTTCTGGGTGATAATTTGAAACCCTCTCTTTGACGATTTTTGGAAGTGTTGTATTTATTCTGGAACAATACTTATGATGACAATACTTTTTATGATATTGTGCTTATTA